CTTCCAAGTTTCCTAAGTAGGCTTTGATAAGACTGTCCATATATATGTCATTTAAAATGGTCTTTACAAGGATTCTGTAGAAACACATTTGCTGTCATGAAAGCAACATAAAGAAGTTTAGGCACTGTGGTCACAATTAAAAAAAATACATTTGTGTGTAAGATGATGTGCAAAAATTAATAAACCCGTGGTCAGTGACCTACAGAAATACTGTGCAAAAAACTCCAGAATAAGCCGCCAACAGAAGCAGTAATCACCACTGAGCCTTTTCACTGGACTGACCTGCCTCTTTTGGAAAAAAAACAAACACTTGGTTCACACTTCTGTCTCCAAGTCCAGATAAAATGCTGACACGTAGGTAGAATGGAGGTGAGGCTTGAAATGAGTCATGCACCTGAAGGGTTAATAGCAAAGAACAGTTCCAGAGACATGGTGGGGAAAATGCACCCCCACCTGTGCATCTAGACAGGGCTCTGACCTTTGACAAGTTACTTTTTCCCTGGTCTCAGGCTCCCTTGGAAAACAACCTATAACTTATTTGGGGGAAAACCTTTGGGTAGAACAGTTGGATCACACTTGGAAAACACAAATGGTGATTTAAACCGTAAGACCCAAAGACAAAGGATCCAGACCGGGCAAACAAAGCTGCTCACAGAGTGATCTTCTGTGAACGGGAGCAACCCCAGCACTACCCCGCCAGCTTCTTTCTTCCTTGATTCTTTCTTTTTTGGCCCATCGTCTCGGCATCAATGGAGACACTTGTCACTGGATGTTCAGGTCCTTCATTGACCCTCCCAGGGCCATTTTCATTTTTGGTCATTCGGTTCAAGGCATTTCCATGTTATATCTAAGTATTTATTCTTGAGTTTTAAAGTCATAACTATGGTGTATGACCACTGGCTAATTCCTGCTTCTCTCTCAAGTCTGCAAACATCACTTCTTCCAGCTGGTCTTCCTTGACCATCTTGACTAGGTTGGGTCAGGGTTATGGGAACAGTGTGATCCCCTCCACAAGCATCCAGTACTTACCTTCTTGTAAGACCACTCATTCATTCAACAAGTATTTCCTGCATTGAGTGTCTGCGATGTACCAGGTACTGTTCTAGGGCTGGGACTGCAGGGGAAATAAGAAAGACCCAGACCTCTTGGGGCTTAAGTTCAGTACAAGGACAATAGAAAATACACAAATCCGTATTTTAACACCTGACAATAAGTGCTATGGAGAAAAACAAGGTGAGATAAGGAGAAGAACAGGGACTGGGGCCAAGCTGTTTTGGATAGGGTGTTGGGGGAAGGCTTCTTCAAGGAGGTAGCATTTGAACAGAGGCTTAGATGAAGCAAAGGGGTGAGCTTCACAAAGATTAGGGAGAATGTTCCAGGCAGAGAAGACAGCCTGAAGGATTGGTGGCACCTGGCATGTGGCAGGGGCTTAAATGTGTGAAACAGATGGAGGGATAAAATTTATTCTTGCCCACCTACACACCGGACTTTGTATATATTCCTTTTATCTGAAATGTCCTCTTCCCTTTCTGCCTACCCAATGCCTCCCTTTCTTCAAACATTCCCCCTAATCTGCCCTGTTAAGCCAGGCTTGCTTGAGCCCACGGCCTCAGCACACTTGATCCGCACACACCAGGCACAGCAGCTGTGGGCACCTTTGGGCACCGCAAGAGTCTGCACAGCTGCAACCCTGGGAGTGGATGCAGTGAGGTCATTCTCAGGTGGGCCCTCTGGGGAATGAGCACCCCAACTTTGAGACCACAAACCAGCCCCTCTGTATGGACAGAGAGGCAACTGCATGTTATATGGCAACACAATCAGACTTTTGGATTGAGCTCCTTTCTCCTTCAGCCCCCAGGGGAGAGGAGAGGGGCAGTCTGCCCATCCCCACTGCCCCCTCCATACCTGCAGACAGAAGACCCTCTGGTGTCCATTTTACTGGGTCCCTGGTTGTGGCGCATTTGCCCTGTTGGTCCAGCAGCAGCTGGTACTCTCTCGCTCCTATGACAACAGCCTTGATTGTGTATTTCTTGTAAGTTACTTTTCTGCTTCCTTTTTACTGCTCAACAGTCCCAGAATGCCTGCCCCTTGCCCTGTCACAGGTGACCGCCAACCACAGCCACCTCTAGCTCCATAACAGGTACTATTGACATAATTCTTATAGGCAAACTGTAGACTCAACAAGATTTATACATATTTCACTTTTATTACCAATCAAAAATAAATTCCATATATTGTTTAGCAAATATTATCATTATTTTGTGACAAAAGACACAAGAGTCATAACAACAAAACTCCCCGAGAGTCAAACTCATAACAATGCCAAAATAAATCACAAAAATATACAAATTAAAATCTTATGCAAAATAAATATGAATTATTTGCTATGGTGGCTGTGACTTGCCTACCCATTCTCAGGCCATTTGCGAAGTTCTCCCTTCCATGGGAAGATGCGCAGGGCTGGGCCAGTTCCAGGGTACGGCTCAGCCCAGGAACTAGAGGTTGGAATAGGAAATGAAAAATTGCACTGGGAGGAGGAAGTCATCGGACCAGTAATATTTGGAAATAATCATGACCCTCTGCGAGAAGTGATTATAAAAAGGGAAGGGGAGGGGACGGGAGGAGGGACCACCTGCTGATAGGAACTGTGTGTGCAAAGAGGTAGCTGTGGAAGTGTGTGCACCTGCTGCTTTGACTTCACACACACTCACTGGGTTCGGGTCGTGGCTTCACCCCACCTGGCACTCAGGTCAGGTGCAGGAACACAGTTGTGCGAGCCCCCTTGTAGATTCGGAGAGCAAGCAGATCCTGTAGACAGCTAAGGGGTTTCCCCCAACAGGGGACAAAGGTCTGGTGTCTTTTTTACCTTATGGCTGAGAACCCATGGATGTCACCATCTTCTCTCCAGACTTGAAGGAATTAGTTCTGTGACTGGGGAGGACTTTAAACTGACCAGGGGCCACCATACTTGGTGCAAGACATTTCCTGGTCCCAAACAGAGCACTTGGTTGAGGAAAGGAGTGAATAAATAATACTCAGGAAGGCCTGCAGAGTCTCCCTTGCCTGATTTTGGGCCCCAGCAACTGCTTCTCCTGACAAAAGGGCCAACGTGGACCATGGTCCCATAGCCTCCCTGATGGTGGGAAGCCTGCAGCTCTGCAGCAGGGCCCGGTCGGCCCCAGGGGAAAGGTGCTGGGGTGGGACTGCTTGTGGGGTGGGGCTCTCAGGGTCCAGTACCATGAGCTTCAGCCAAGGCCAGGATGACATCTCACACTAGGATTACACACGTGGGGGAGACAGGGCTGCCAGCTGTGTGCCTTTCAGATGGGAAACTCCTTTCCTGGGTTCTGTAAGTGTGTGAACACGGCCAGGTAAGCCTCAGCCACAGAGGAAAGGGCATGAAGAACCTGCTTAGGTAGACTTCCTATATGTCCCCTGGCCCTCCATCCCCAGGAGGCATTGGGGTTTGGGGATTAGAAGCAGAGCGTATGGAAGGAAGAGCTTCCTGGGTCAGTGACTGAGACTTGACTTTCATTGTTGGGTGAGAAGGGGGACTAGTACTGCTAACAGCATCAGTGCCCAGGACCACGTTCCCCCGGAAGAGTACCCCAGACAAGTGCCCTCTAACGCAGATGCCCTCCCCACCTGGGGAAAACCTTTGGTGAAGGTGAGGGCAGGGCCTGGGGAGCAGGGGTTAGCAGTCTTAAAGGTGCAAGGCCCTGCTTAACACTTGGAGTCAGCCCTGTTACAAGGGGAGAGTCCAAAGGGGCGAATATGAGGCAAACCAACAGGACAGCGTGAGAGTCCTCAGCCCAGCCCAACTCACCAGGAGAGCCCATCCGCAGAGTTCTAGGAAATTCCTGGGTCCAGCGAACGACTGGAGGAGGGTGCTCCTCTCCACAGTTGGGCATATCACATCCCTGATCACAGCTCCCCAGGATCCCTTGGCCTCAGCGATGACAGACGAGCCTGAGTGCACGTGTCCGGGCAACTGTTCTCTGCACTATTTGGTTCTTTGCTTCCTGGGAAGAACTGTCTTCCCTCCCAAGAGAAAACCTTTCTCCTGCAGGCCTCTGGGACTCCATCTCCGGGGGAGGCGGAGAAAGAGTAGGCTCCCTGAGTCAGGGACATAGCCAGAAGGTCACAGCTGGGAGCAGATTATGGCTATCGCTTCCCGGGGTGAGAAATCCTACCCCTTTTAACGTTTTTCTGGGAAAAAACATTGTTTTTAAATAAAGTTCCTTAACCCTGTCTTCCCTTCCCCGTATATTTAAAAAGAGGAGCACCTGGTCACCAGCCCGCTGTCCCACTTGTCCAGGGCTGGGCAGCCGCTGCCCCGGAGCTGTTCAGAGGTGCCTGTCGGAGTCCAGATGCCCCTCGGGCTGGGGGCCATCTGGCTGCTCAGTCAGACAGGCTATCTGTACCCCTTGCAGCCTAACAGGCTCCTTGTCTTCGTGTGGGCCCACCGGGGAGGCCCCCGCGGGGCTGGCGGGGGACCCCAGGCCCTCCTGTCAGATGGCGCTCTCGTGCGAAGCTCTGTGCAGCAAGGAGTTGCGCTCATTCAGGAGCGTCGTGGTCTCATCCACCACGGGCAGCTCGGACTTGTCAGTCAAGTTCTCGGTGCAGATGGTGCACCCATCTGGGGGGAACTGAGGGCAGTTCTCCATGCGGGAGGCCAGCAACCCATTCTGGTACTGTTGCCGGGTGATCTGCAGGGGGAAGGGATGGGGTTCACTGAGAGCAGGGCAGGGGGGACAAACCCTACATGAGACCAGGGGGAAAAGGGCAGCCGGGATGGAGGGTGCAAGTCCAGAAGAGAGGGCAGGACCCACTGGGGTCTCAGGAGCCCATGCCAAGAGTGAGGAGCAAGAGTAGGAAGGACGCACATCCTGGGTCTGGGTCCTCCGTGCTGGGTGTGGCAGAGCAAAGAAAGACCACTGAGGCAGAGTGGTCCAGATGCCCAGGACGAGGAAGAGGGGGCCCGCGGGGAGCACTCACTTTAATGTACTGGAGGTCCATGAGCGCCCGGACGCTGAAGTCGGAGATGTACTGGCCCAGGATGGAGCTGCCAAACTGGTTGCTGCTGCCCGCCAGGGGGGCTGTACTGGCCGAGTCCGAGCGGTCCGGGTAGCTGAGGGAGGCCGAGCGGCTGAGGGTCGTCGGGTGCGACGGGGAGCGGTCTGTTGGGGGAGAGAGGCTGTCAGGCTGGGAGCCAGCCCAGGGCCCTTCACAGCCTCCTGTCTAGCCTCATCCCGCGGATGCCCAGGCCATGGTGTCCCCACCGGGAACAGGAAGTCGTTCTTGAGCACAGACGGAAGCGCTCACTGCAGAAGGTCTGACCTCATCAAAGCAAATGAGTTAGTTTGTTTAGGACTTACTGTTGTGCAATAAGTATTAAAAAGTCTCCCAAAACAAACACACAGAACAGAAAACAAAACCTGAGACACAAAGTTTAAGGCTACAAAAGCCCTCAGTTCCCCAACAGCTAATCAGGCAGGGATGACATGATGATTACCCAAGCATGTCCCTGTCTCGACGACAGATTCTGTCAAGGGACATAACTACATACTTTTAAATTATACAAAAAGGAGGAATCTACAGTTTGTACTCTCTCACCACACCGATTACCCCCCCCCAACAACATGACACCCTGTTCACATCTCAAAATGCCCTTAAGAGCTCAAAAGTATGTTCCGCGCGTGACCTGTTCTGTGAACAGTCCTGCCACGGGGTCTGCTGAGCCCAGCCAGTCTGGCAGGGCCATGGGGGCAGCAGGTTCCTCTCCCAGGAGCCGAAAGGACTCAGAGCTCCAGGCTTCCCGGGTTCCCAAGGCTGATCCAGTCCCCCACCAGGGGGCAAAGCCTGGGGTAGTGGTGGCGGTGCCTCTTCCCACCCTAGGGGCAGCCCGGGGCTCCCTGCAGCTGATGGTAACCAGGAAAGGGGAATGACTCAACATCTAGTGAGGAAGGAACCGATTCCTTATTTTGAAAAAGGAAGGGCACACACTATTGTACATCATTAGCTTGTAGTTTTACGAACACTCAGAAGACAATAAAATGCACCAAGAAATTATCTGTGAAGGCATGCTGACTTGTTTTAAACAAACAGGAAGTGATTTGCCTAGTTAACTACTAAGTTACTATCTAACTTTTGAGTTAGCTGTTCTAACAAATAGCCCAGTGAAAAGAGCAACCATTGAATCTGGGTGACTGATTTAACCAAGTGAGACTGGATTGAGTAATACTCTACCTCTGAGTTTCATTCATAAAACGGGGAAAATGCAGTCTGGACAGTGTATGATTGTGTGGTGCCCAACCATTAAAGGATCATGTGCACATATCACTTACTCTAACTTAAGTAACACTTCTGGTTAAGTTCTAGAAAAGAATAGAAATACTAGGGATATTACTTAACATTTCACATTAATTATTTGGATGATGAATGCTTTCAATTATTCCTTATTAACACTCCAGAAACAGGAACTGAATTTAAAATCAGCATAAATTAGTGACATGACCTATTAAAAATAGAAGTCCTAGAAAGAAATATACCAAAATGTGAAGTGTTTGTTTCTGAACAATGAATTTATAGGTGCTTCTTAATTTTTTTAAGACTCTTTTCTACTTGCCCTATTTTCTAAATAAGCTATGTTACCTTTATGATAAAAATTTTAAAATGTAACAAAATAATGAGGTTTTAGACTTGGTAATTCCATCTCTGAAAGAACAGTCTAAGGATATAATCTTTTTTTTTTTTTAAAGGATGGCGTCTTTTTTATTTTTATTTTTTTAGGTAGAGGGGCAGTGGTTCGGTTTATTTATTTATTTCAAATGGAGGTACTGGGGGTTGAACCCAGGACCTCATGCGTGCTAAGCATACACTCTACCACTGAGCTATACGCTCCCCATCTAAGGACATAATCTTAAACATGGAAAAAGGTTTTTTCATTAAGAGGTTTACATCATGGTGTTATTTAAAATATAGACCCCCATGAATATGCATATGAGGATAATAAATGAAGGCACATCTGCATAGTGAAATCCTGGTGCCTCTAAATAGAAAGCTTACGGAAAAGTGTCTCGGTTCCCATATTAGGTAATCAGGATTCATACCATGTACACACAAACTCCTGGCCATCTGTGAAACAAGAGCCAGAAGAGGAGAGGGAGGCTGAAGCGTTGGCCAGCGAGGCCAACATGGTCCGCTCTGTTCTCACCAGACACCCCCTGCTCAAAGGCCATTAATGGCTTTGTACTTCCCATTAGTCAAAAGCTGGTTGTGCTTGAACAGGACAAGTGACTTCTAAGTCACCTTTTCTTTTTTTTCCAAGAGGATCAATAGAAAAGTGTGCTTTGGTACATTTAAGAAGGGGAAAAAAAAACCCAGCTGTACAAACAAAAAAAGGGGGGGGGGACAGTTGACTGAAGTGATAGGTTTTTAGCAGCTTCTTTAAGTCATGCACTGAGACTGGAGCTCAAAGACACTCGTGATGCCCTGAACCGCCTCTGGGCTCACCAGTCCAGGCCAGAACTCCGTGGACAGGACCACCACCTTCCACCACCCTCTGCTGCCTCAGGATACATGGCATGGGGATCCCTCGAAGTGAATGATTCTGGAGCCAATATAGTTCCCACCGACCCTGGGACAGGGCTCAGGAGGGTGACATATCAAAGGCCAGAAACAGCGCCGGCATTTATCTGACCTTTTCCTAAATACTTTCTGATTGGGATGTCACACTTCAGTTGTGATAGATAAAAACCAAATAGTAAGTGAGTGCTAACTATATGTCTTGTATCAATGCTCTCCCTCACTGCTCATGACGATTCCAAGAAGTGGGCACATGTATCATTCCCATCTCACATGAGGAAACCACACTTAGAGAGGGTAAGTCAGTGCCCAGAATCATTCAGCTGGTATCTGCGGAGACTGCAGTCAACCAGGGCGGTGTGCGGCCACACTCCTAACCCGCCCAGTGGCTGCCTCCCACTGGCAGATGGACACCAGCAGCAAAAGAATGAAAAGCAAAGCCTGTGAGGAAAGGTGGAAAGATTTTCAGAGAAAGCTGGTGGGATAACAAGTCATCCTGCTGAGGTCTGTGAGTGACCCTGAGCAGGCAGTGCGGAACAGCTGGGCTCACTTGGCCTGGCCAGGAACAAGACACTCTCTAGTCCCAGCCTGTGTGCCTGTGCCTGTGCCTGTGCATGTGCGTGTGCCTGTGCGTGTGCGCATGTGTGTGTGTCTTCTCAAGGACTGAAGGACCTTGGAGGAAGCTCCTCCAGGACCTAGGCAAAGGCACCCAGTAACTGGGTCCTAGGCCAAGCAGAGCCAGCACAAATCAGGCTGGCCCACAAGTGTGAACAGGCGGGATGCCCGCAGGTCCACGGGCAGGGCAGAGTGTGTGTTGGGGGGGCTAGTGCCTGCTGGGAGAGGTTAATGCAGCTGCGGGATGCAGACTCAGGCGACAGGTGGCAGTCAAACTTCTCCAGCCATGCCAGGTTACCTGAGAGCCAGGAGAGCAGGGAGTTCCGCTTGCCAGGCGGACACCCGACCTGGGTTGAAGGCACTGGAGCAAAAGAGGAAGAGGTCAGTGATGGGTGGGGTGGACATGGAGCCACAGGAACAGGACGGAGAAGGCTTGCTGCAGCAGAGAGGTGGCAAAGTGGAAAAGGGGAGGAGCTCAGAGAAGAGCGGAAGCTGGTGGAGTGGGCCCAAGAGCTCCCACAGTGAATACAGAGTCCCCCAGAAGTCATCTTCCCTCCCTTCCAGGCACTCCAAATGGGAACTGCGGGTCTCCAGGTCAAGGGACAGAGCCTAGGACCCTGACCCAGGCTCGGAGGCATCGCTGCAGAGAAAGAGTGCTTGGAGGACTGTTCTGTGACTGTGTGCCCTGCTGAACAAGATTTCCCAAACTGGATGGCAAGAGATGCTCTTGGGAGGGGCAGAGAAGTCCTCCCATTCCTAAGGCATCTGGGCAGAGGCCATCTGCTCCAAAACCCAGCTCTGGAGCCTTGTTTCTCACCCACTCTCTCTCCGGGAGCCTGCTCAGGCTGGTGGATGAGCTGAGCTGTATCAGTACGCATGGGTGCCCGGCCCCCCACACAGGGTCCTCTCTGTAAGGACAGCAGTAGGCTGTCCTGTTGAGAGCACAGAGACTGCCCAGAGGCTGCAGTGCCTCCTCGCTGTGGGCCTATCCCCAGCACCAAAGCAGACTTTCATTCTCCAGCCCGCAGCAACCAGGGCCCCTCTTAAGGCTCGGAGGGGACACACAACCAGCAAGGAGCTGGGCTCGGTGAGATGTGGGCCTCCTCTGCAAGACCCCTCTGGCAAGGGCAGCCTGAGCTGCTCGAGACTGGAGAAGCAGAGGGTACCAGCGTTGCCCTTCCCAGCACTTTCTATAACCTCGCTCAGAGGGTGTCCAGTCCCCTATTTGTCCCCAAGTCCCTTTACTGCATCAGAACTGATCCTTAACCAAAAGGCAGTGAGTGGCTCAGCCCTCAAAGAGCCAAACCCATGTGCAATCTGTGCGGCCAGTGGGCCCTGGCCTGGCCCTCGACCGGGGCGCTTTGGCCTCCTCCCCCCATCGCAGTCTTCATGAGCAAGGCCCTGCCTCCATCTCAATTCTCCTCCTAGCATCATGGCCAAGGAAGGCCACTGTGGCCCGCCTGCCCGCTGGCCCATTCAGCTGTCACATGTCCCCCTGCTCGAGGGCCACTAACAGCCTCCTGCTTCCTATCACAAGCAAACGCCTCAACTTTCCAGGGCTCCCTGACACATACCCATGTTTTCTTCATCTTCTGGGAGGCTGGTCTCAGGTCCCCAGGACACACTCTCAGCTCCCTCTAGGCCTCTGCTTGGACCTCCTCCCCATCTCTTCCCTCCACCCTCTGAACTCAGTTCCCAGGGACAAGTCACTGCTCTTCCCAGCCCTGGAGCTCTGGCCCGCGCTGGCCTCCTCTCCCCCAAGCCACCTGGCTTACGAGCCTTCCAGATTGCTCTAGGTTCTGGAGGGCCAGTCCATGTCCCTCCCGGTCCAGGCATGCTGGATGGCAGCCCAGACCAGGCCCAGCAACTCACCAGAGGGGGACGCGGACAGGGCCATGGTCCCGTAGTAGGAGAAGGCGCCCGTCTCAAACTTCATGTTCTCCTTCCCGGCCTCCACCTCCACCTTCCCCTGAGCATACACAGGTCAGGGTTCCAAAGACAGTGGGAAGGAAAACACAGATGGAGTGAGTGGGGGTGTGGGCCGCACGGAAGAAGAGCTGGTGCCCGCCCTGAAGACCCGGGGCAGGAGGAAGGGCACGGGGGAGGTGGGTGGGAGCAGAGGCTTGAGGGCTGGAAAGCACTGGGACCCTGGGTCCCGGCAGGCGAGGGGCGGGCCAGGCTCACCTGCAGGATGAGGATGAAGTAGTCGGCCGGCTTGTTCCGGGTGTACAGGTAGTGGCGCACGTAGTACTTGTTGTGCTCATCAAACTTGAGCTCCTGAATGACGTCTGGGTACTTGAGTAGCCGCAGCAGGATCTTCTCTGATATCAGAGAGGGGCTAAACTGGGGGACTTCTGCAGGAGGAGAGACGAGGACTTCACGCAGGGCCGGGAATACAGCCACTGCCACACCCCTGGAGGGAGCGCCCCCAGCTCCTGCCTGCCTGCTGGGCCTGAATGAGGTCTCCTATACTAACAGAACACGACCTCAGGCAAATCCCTTCACCGGTGCCTCAGTTTCCTCATCTGTAAAATGGGGATTTAAAACTTCACAGGGCCGCTGTGAGGTAAGATGGGGTAACAGGTAAAGACATTTAAACACATGCTCGCCACATGGGAAAGGCTTGATATATGTGACTATCATTATGGTCATTATCTGTGTCATCAATATCCTAGCAGGAAAAATGCAGGGGAAGAGATTATCACAGCTTTAGCAAGTTAGGGCTGGGAAGGAAGTTGGACTGGGGCAGGGAGGACAGAGCAGGCAGGCATTTTCCTAATCAATCACCCACGTCTCCAAAGGAGCTTTGAACCAGAAGCAAGAAGAGAGAAGAGTCACTGACTAGAGGTCAGGTCTCCTGGGACCCAGCAGATGCAGGTGGAGGGGAGGCAGAGACAGATCCAGGTGCTGGGAGAAGGTAAGTGGGCAGAGCTGTGGGCTGCACCCGGGAGGAGGCAGGGTGGGTGCAGGAGGCACATGGAAGGGAGCCTGGTACCCACCTCAGGTCCCCCCAGCAGTTATTTCCAAAATAAACCCGAATCCTTCCTGGAGGTTTGCCAACTGCAGGAATCTCATGGGGTGGTGCCTCACCCTTCCCAGAGGCAGCCAAACTTTCCTGGAATCTTTCATCTGCTGCAGCCCTCGTCCCCAGAGGGGGCTGGTGGGGAGCAGCCAGAGACGGGTCTGTCTCCCTCTGGGACTGTATCCACTGACACCTGAAGGCCTTCCTCCTGCTCTTACCTGTGGCCAGGAAGCGATGAGCAGCCAGAAGTAGCTGAGGTGAAATTTTCACCTTGAGCTCATTGTCAGCATCCTTGAAGGCTGAGAAATCACGTTTGTTTTTCTCAGATACCCGTTTCCGACTTCGGTTGTCAGCTACAAGAGAAAGAATCTGGAACTGAAAACAGCATCCCCCAGGGACTCAGGAACAGCCTGGAAAACCTGGCAGCAGCATCTGGGCCGAGGCACAAAGGCAGGAGGAAGGAAGGTGGCTCCTCTCACTGCTCTGAGCAGTGTGCTCCCAGCTCCCCTGCCCAGGGCCAGCACCCAGCCTCCCTGTCCCCGCAGTGGCCGTGCCACCTCGGGACAGACATCAGTCTGAGTAGCACAGGGTGTGGGGTGACACTCACTGTACATGTCAGACTCATCCAGGATCTCGGACTTGATGATCTCCTCGATGACGTCCTCTAGGGTGACCAGGCCCAACACCTCATAGAAGGGGTCACCTTCGCCCTCGTTGTTCACCTTCTGCACGATGGCCAGGTGGGACTTCCCTGCAGGGACAAAGTCCTGAGTCAGACAAAAGCAGAGCGACTGGTCACGAGACTCCTCGAACAAAATGGGGCCATGAGTCACTGGGGTGGCATCATGAATGGCCTTTTCCCTTTTCTGTAATTCTTTAAGTTTCTATTGCAAATAGATATTGCTCTTATGAAAAAGAAAACCAAAAGTATGTTTTAATTTAAAGGCATTTACCTACTCCTGGGCACATATTCGGAAGGAACTCTAACGTGAAAGGATACATGCACCCCAATGTTCA